CTACGTAGCACACATTTTCACCAAAGATCAACACATTTCTGATGAAAATTCGTTCTTATCGATAAACACCTTAAAATATTGATCTGAAGGAGAAATAAAGTAACATTTTTGGAATTGCATGATATTATTTTTTGGAATTTTTACACGATAACTTTTTTATCAACAGACTAACCTAGATTTGTAAACTACCTTGCACATTTTACGTCAATATCAATTCACAGAATAGAACATTTATATCATAAATAAGATAATAAGGAACTTTGTCCTATATTTTGGGTAAACACCATTGCATGAATGATAAATTTAGGGTTTGCTACAAAACTGAAACTGCTGTGTTAATCGCGAAGGCAGTGAATGTTTCAGCAGAAATGTTCGGTTTGACGGGACTTTTTGCAGCCTTGACACAACATTTCAGGGCAGCTTGCGTATTTGCATACATCGTAATGATTGATTACCGAAAAGAATACACGTGAACACATTTTACAAACAGAAAACTACACAACTTATTTCTATCGCAATTCTACGTGTACTCATATGACGTCTGATACCGATAAGTCATTCACAGGCACGGCTGAGAAACTATTTTGCACGTTCCCAAGTTTTATCAAAATGAAGTATAGTCCAGAGGATCATTAAATTATTGCGAATATAGTTTCCCGGTTAAATTCAATTATTGTTTCCAAGTAGGCGTTTCGAGTTAGGTGTCATACATACACCAGTAAGTCAAAGGAATCTCACTGGTTATTTTTCTAACCCTTCACTTTTGCACACCTGAAATGTGTTATCGCTGAGGTGTAAATGCGTAAGACCTCGCATTATTTCCTGATGGTCTTAAATACTGAGGTTTATACCTCTATAGCAATGTGGAAATCAGAAAAACAATGGTATAACTAGTAGAAAAAGTGGTATGACAACCTTGGAAACGATTGATAATTCAAGACAACTGGTAAATGGATTAACTAGATCCCCATTGAAATAAATGAGGATTACATATACAAACTGCGATTGATTTTGAGCTGCATCACCTAGCATTTGTCAACTACTAATCTCAGTTGTCTCATAAATCGCAAGCAGTATGTCTGGATTTGTCCACATGGCTCAGGAGACCACTCAGAGACTTATTGCATGTGAGCCATAACTTTTTTCTATCTGAATCATTTTCTAACCAACATACCACTTTAGAAAAGGGTTGGGGAGAAGCTGCGTAAATTTTTTCGGAGGGATTCAATTATCACGGTCAATATTACAACAAGGATGAGTGTATCACAATCATTTTTCGACTAGACATGATTCACTACTCTAATATCCATCAAATAAATAGGAAATATAAATATTTGAATGAATTCCTTAGTATCAGCTGATGTGAGTCATGGTGATAGGCTTTATTAGTAATTATAGCAAAAGCTGTTGAGTCTGAGTCAATATCGATTTCTGTTCGACTGCTGTTATAAGATGACATTTAGGAAGAAATAATCATTAATAGTGTGCCTGCTGACTACGTGCGCTTTCGTGGCTCGGTGGTTTAGTTCACTGCGCTCTCAATTTGGAAGCTGTTGCTACCGTGTCCGAATCCTGGTGGGGACAACATCACTCTCTGGGATGTATGTAGATGCAGCTGACGAGTCCCAAATGGGATGAAATGAGCGTCCTGGATTTCTCTGCTAGCTCCTACCCATCAATACTATAAATAATTGAAACACATGCCATATCGAGGCATTCGCACAGTAGCATATATGCCAACAGAGACTCATCAATTCCGTCCAATCCACGACGGTATAATACAAGCAAGAATACTACTCTCATGCATAGTTTCGGATAACCGAACAATTCTATGCTTTACTTGTGGCTAAAGTTGTATATTGTTACTGAGTAGGTATCCTATATTTTTACCACAGCTTGCAGACAGCTGCATCATTATCTTACAAATCCTGAGGTAAAGCTAACAATGACGTAATTCCATATTAGACTGTTTATTTGATATGACACATAGTGATACAGTATTATTTATTCGGTGACTTTTTCAGTAGAATATATTGCCCATATTCATATCTGAGTAGTCGTACAACATTCAAATTTCCTATATTTAGTCCAACGGTTCTTCATTCACTTATTTAAATGAGAGTAAAGTTTTACAAATACCTGCAATATGTGATAAGTCACTTGTTAAGTGTTGATTTAATGAACAAAGATTCTGTGATCAACACTCTCTCCACCTAGCTACACTGGATATTAGAATTGTTACTGTCTCCCACGTTATAGTGTGAATATGGATGAGTGCATGCAGAGTGATAGCCTATATTTTCTGTCAATTCCTTATCTTAGTAGGGTCTGTCATTGTGTGATTCGTTAATTTTTGGTGTTGTACTATTCTGATTAACTGTTCTGACATATATGTTCCACCTCGCTATTGGTACGGTGTATTTGAGAAGTTAGGCTATCTGTCTCAACTGACTCTGGATCTTAACTGGATCTTTTAGCCCATACAGTTTTGTTACGAATGAGTTTATGAATTTAAGTGGCACTCTAATTCCAGTATTGTTGAGAATTTTACGTAAAACTACCAATTTGCCTTCTGTATATGCGAGCACTACAGCAGATTTGAGTTTTCTTTTAGGTATTTTACAGTAACCACTAATATTGTCATTTCTTCTCTTATCACTCCTTATAAACCTTTTTCATAATTCCGGAGGGTAGTTATTAAGAAGTGGTGCCTTTTTGATATGTTCAAGTCCCTCACTTAGGTTTTCTGACTTACTACTCAAACTCCTAGCCTGACTGTTTGAACGTTTGATCATGCCTTCCTTGATAGACATGGGGTGAGATGATGTGAAGTTCAGATATATATTCCAATATTTTCGTTCTGCCTGCTTGGTCCAGACAGATCTTAATTAATCATTTTCCTACCATTTACCATGTCCCCATCAATATATCAACGGCCACTAGACACTCAATACTTTACACAACAGAAAATATATCACTCTGGCTAACACAGCCTGAATTATGTCAACAAAAGAATCAAGTACAGCCATCATAACTACACTAGTTGTTAAAAATTCATTTGTATCAGCTGATTTAATAGCAGATATCTCATTACCTCATGTACTTTATCTGACTCATTCATTTTTTCACCATATTATTGTTTCATTCAGCTTACTGTCTGTTGAATATTACTTCTGTACATCCAAGTATGCATTCATATGAATATTAACACAAAGCCCTCGAATCTGTTTCCTTTCCCATCCACTGATTTTTGTTTTTATTCGTATGTAGTTTATAAGAAAAAGCAACAGGATTTCTTCAGAGCTTTAATCACTGCCAGTAAGCTCTACAGAGTCCACTTTCATTTATTATTGTTTAGTTTGAATAGGTGAAGTCTCTCTGCAACAAACAATTTCAATGACTTTTTGTTAAGTGAAATATATTAGCGATGTAATTACATGTAGTTGAATTCCAGCATTAGTTTTTAATGCTAATATTGTCGGGCAAATGTGTCTTTGCTGAAGTGAATTCACGGGTTATTCACTATTCTAAAGACCTCATCGGTGTTATTTTATATCTGTTCTCTGAATAAACAATGTGAATATAAAATTGTGAACTCTGAGGAAGTAGTTATTGAAAGGAATTTTGTTTGTTGACTAGCTGTTTCATTTTATCATTGGAATTTTTAAGAAAGAGTTACACCTTGTATTATTTATTAGAAACCAGTTTTCAGGATGCTCTGAGACTAGATACTGTGCTTATTGTCACACGTCATTAAGGTGTATTTACAACCATGACGAAACCTAAAGTTTCCTTAGTAAGTCGAACCCATACCGTTTAGTGCTGAATTCATAGGTTTTGTCACTAAAGTGTTCAGACCATGAATGATTCCTTTTAGGAATGGAATGTGTACATGGATTAGTTACCATCGGTGACCGATACAGTTGCATGAGTTAAGTGTTCAGCAATAATAGAAATCTATCGCTAAAACTCTATTTTGTCTATAATACAAAGTTATAGGCCACTACCGTGTATTGTATTTTGGTGCTAGACATTCTCTTGATTACTTCATTTGCAACCGATTTCAGCACCATTATTTTTTTTTTTGGGTTAAGTGATGAAAGTTGTCTTGTATAATGCTGGAATCTTTAGCATTATTTTACTAGATGAAATAACTCATATGGATTTCAGTTTGGCCAGGTTTTATGCTCATACTGTATACATCTACTGCTCACTCCTTGGATTAGGAGCGGAATTTAACAGTCCTAGAGGTTGAAATTTGAAAACAGTCTACAGAAAACTTCTCTTTAAGCATTTTTCCTTCTGACGTTCACCAATTTAATGCATATATAAAGCTTATAGTAGACAGAAATACAACCTGATACACAATGAGGATAACATGTAGGCCGTCTCGTAGTTTTAAAGTTTCCGCTTCTCTACTGGCAGACTAATAAGTTGAAGTCATTTGAGTTCATTCGTATCTCTAGTCTATATAAGTGACTGTTTACTTCATCACGAGATAAGAATACAATTCAGTCACTTCACCAGGATTAATGGATTGAGGAAATTCACCAGTCGAGTACAACCAGCTAATAAGCAATAATGTGATAGGCAGTTATTGAACTAAAAACCCAAACAAAATCTTCCTTTTTGTGAGAATGAATCCTTTTCATGTTTGTAGATAAAAGGAGTACTGATGAGCTCAGAACACATGTCGTTTAACATGATCAGTCAGATATTGGCATAAATGAGTAGAATGAAGTAGAGAATCACTACTGGGAATTGAATTATTTACGAATAAAAAGTATAAAAAGTCAAATAATGCTGATGATTTTCAACATGAAACTCAACATTCTTCATTGATTATGACAGAAAGTAATCCTGAATGTTTAAAAGCATTAGAATCATTTGTACAAGAGAATTATTCCACACTTTATGCTAAAATTAGATAATCTGTTTAGTTTTCTCATCACCAGTCAATTTTCTTTTAAGTTACCAAATATAGATTTTTTAAGTTTGACTGATGAATAATTTCTTTTTCTAATCACAACTAACATTTACTAATGGCAAACAGTAAGAGATGTGTACAAGCAATAAGTGAGGTAGAAAAAATTTCTATGCGTATATAAATACTTAAGCACAGCTACTAGACCTACAAAGAATTTGTTTTAAGCATAAGGTTACTCAAAATAATGACTACGACAACTTCAGAAAAAGACGAAATGCAACAATATGCAGTTGACAGAACTCTCGAAGCTATGAATATGTACTTCTCATATGACCAAATAGGTGAACATATATCGAAAGCCTTCAGTTCAAAGTATTGTGGAAATTGGCATTGTAAAGTTGGTAAATCATTTGGAAGGTAAGTCTCAACACTATTTTTCACAAAGCGTTTGTTCTTGCTTTCATTTAGTAATTAAGTGCATATTCTGTATCCTTATAAGGTTGCATTCTTATTCCCTGAAAGTTTTTTGAACTCAACTGTTTGGACTTCCAAAATTATTTTAAAAACAACAACACCAAATATAGTAGCTGTTAAACTAAATAATTTTGATAGATTCAGTAAATTATCTACAGAATCATTCGAACCAGAAGCTTCTCTACCGTTCTTGATTAGTGTTGTAAAAATAGATGACTTTTATTTGCATTAACTAATCTGGGCATTCTAAATTGTGATAGTCTTGATATGCGCAATCCTAAATGTATCACAAAACGATCTACATGGGATTGAAATTAATAATTTGCAATGTATATCCGGGCAGAGATTAGTGTTTAATCTGAAACTAAGTTGTTATAAGTAGCGGGTCATGAAGAAGAGACTGTATTATTTCATCGATGAACGTTTACTCAAGAAACTCGAGAAGTTGTCTTGACGAAGAAGAGAAAAAGGTTAAGTGACTACTTTACACTTATATTTAATGGTGAAATTATTCGATAGTGAACAGCATTTCATAAATGTGAAGATAAGATTTTCCAAAAATGGAATCTGAAAACTAAAACCATAGGTTTTGAGATGAGTTCAAAGCTTGTTTGTCTCACTACCTCATTTCGAAATATAAGAAGGTTTGATAAAGAAGTAGCCAAATGTTGGAATGATTTATATTTTTCACATGATCCACATTGAGATGAAATTTTCAACTCTTCAATAACTCTTTGGTTTGACGTGCAACAGACCCAATGGTCTGCACAAGAAATTAGGGTAAGACTAAATTTTTCAAAATTCTTCCAATCAGTTAGTTGAAAGTAGTCGAAAAATTGTTCAGTACATAAACTACTTCGGCTTATGAATCTACAAAGGACTGATCTTTTCAAAAAAGCTTTACTCAGTCGCTGATATCAGTCAGCAAACCACTGAAAATCTGGGACCACTGAACAATAGTTTCACTCTAGTTTGGACTCCTCCACATCACAGATCTATGACCCCATCTCAGATCGAACGAAGGACCGTCAAATATCGTGACAAGCACGTTACTACTCAGTTACTGAGTTGGGATCAGATAACTCAAATATTAAAATGTCTGTCACTTTGTATATAGTATTTCATCAGTTAATGCCAACAGTGAATGTTTTCTTTCATAGCTAACTTGGCTTAGTCCACGGACCACATCTTACTGAAATCTCGAAAGTCCATTGTTAACCAACACATTAGCTAGTAACAGAAGTGGATAATCAGTTGATTTCAAGGAAGCTTCCGTTACTAAAACTAATTGGTGAAGATTTCTCACAACCATTTATACTAGCTTGTAATAAAGATTTTTGGTTTCAATTAAAAGTTTATTGTAACTAAGATAACTACTTATATCATGAACTAGTTGTTTTCGAATGGAAACCTTAAAAAATGTCGTTAGTGGTCGTTAAAATGCCATTCAGCTTGAGAAAACTGCAATACGGATAACACACACATCATCAAGAATTAAGGCGCACCTGGCTGCCAGATTAATAATTACCCTACATTTTCTTGCTGCAGCCGAGGGTTTTATTGTATCCGCTAAGTAATTCAATAAACAGTTTAAGTTATTGTTTATCATGCATGAACTGACCCTAAATTCACCTATTTACTCTCGTTTCAGCTTCGATACATTCAACTCTGAATACATTTTCTCATATTTTGTTGAAAATTTGGCTATCATACTTTACAAAGATGACTGATTTATCTTAAAGACTTTTCTGTGATCATGTACACACTGTAAATAGAAAAGCATTTATATAATACTCATTGTGTTTAAATGAATACATAAAGTTATTTATTCATGAACGAGAACAAGATTTTTCAGTGAAGATTTATTTGTTTTCAATGATTTTATGAACAAGTTGTTTAGTTATATTTATTATCATTATTATTTTTCCCTTGGGTTCCTACTGGAACGTTTGGCTTCAGTGGTACGCCTCCATTGCACTCTCTTCTCTGCAGTCCTTTGAACCTCGCTCTACCACTGCCCACAAGCTTTCATTTCTTCCTCACACAGCCTCGTCCATGTTACCCTTGGACGCCCAGCTGGTCGTTTCCCCGTTGGATTACACTCGACGGCTTGGCCTAGGACGCGGTGTCCCAATCGGCCTTCTTAGTGTATGCCCAGTCCATCTCCACTTTCTTCTGCATATTTGCTGGGCGATGGTTTTCTGGTTGGTTCGTTACCAGCCGGCCAGAGTGAGTTCCTTATTGCTTATTCTTCCTGGCAATCCATCTAATCCTCAATGTCAGTGTCGAGTGAGCGTAGGCAGCAGCTTTTGATGAATGTTCGTAACGCGCCAAGTTTCTGAAACATATAGCAGCACTCAATTGACTCGCATTGGTGTTGAAAACTCGTATCATGTTCATGCTTTATGCTGAGTGCAGTGCAGTAGATCTCTACACTGATTTCAGATTAATGAAAGCGTATCTTGCCTTTCGGAATCTGGTTTTGACATCCTCGTCTGTGCCTGTACCGCCTGTAGTTGAAACAGTGCTGCGTAGGTAGGTGAAAGAGACTACTTCTTTAAGGTTTCTCCTGTTGATGGTGATTGGTGCTTGTTGTTGATGCTGTTGTTGGTTGGGTATCTTCATCACCTCCGTCTTCACCACATTCACTTGAAGTCCCATTTTCGCTGCCTCACCTCTTCAACCAACTTGTTAGTTTTCGCTTGTAGATTTTTGAGTTTGTGCAACACCAGACATACATAAATCATCAGCGAAATCCAAATCTCCTAGGGTCTTTTCATCGGTCCAGCCAGCGTTTGCCCATCTTCCAGCTCCTTACCGTTTGATGCATGATCCAGTCAACCACAATCAGGAAGATCAAGGATGAAAATAAGCAGCCTTGTTCTACTCCTGTCTTCACTTCTGAGGCATCGCAGAGCTTTCCATTGTTGATCACTTGGCATGTGGCCTCTTTATTGAGCTATCATGAGGTTGACAAAATGTGTGGCACTCTGTAGTGTTGAAGCAGTTTCTAAATTACTTGTCGGTCGATGCTGTCGAAGGCTTTTTCAAAGTTGACAAAGTTGAGTTATCGATACAGTTGACTGCCATTCTACACTTTGTTCAGTGATGAAGAGTAGGATTACAATTTGATTCGCACATAATTTGTTCTTCATGAAGCCAACCAGCCATCCAGCCAAAATGTTCCGGTAGTAGTTTTGAATCCAGCTCATCTTTTAGTGTCTTTAGGATTATGCGGCTCATATTTTGCTTGCAGCATGATTCCGCGCCAGTTCTTGAAAAAGCTTATTTTTCCCTTCTTCGGGAGTTTGACGAAGTAGCCGTTTTTTCAATCTCTAGATACCTTTCCTTCCTTTCAAGCCTTCTGCAGTAGTGGTGTGAGCATGTGCGCTGTTGTATTCGCTTCTGTTTTCAGTGCTTCTGGTGGAATTCCATCTGGTCCTGCTGCTTTCCAGAATTTCAGCAGTTTTGTGGCATTCAGAACTTCCGAATTTGTCGGAGGACCTGTGTTCACTGATATTTCTGTAGCTGGGCTGCTGGTGGTATTTCTGGATGAGTTGCAGGTGATGGTCGATTCAAGAGCTTTTTGAAGCGGTAAACCCATCGTTTCCTTTGCTTCTCCCCTTTGGTAATTAAATTTTTCTTCATCATCTTTTACTGGTTTCATCTGTATTGATCTCTTCCCTACCAGATAGTAACCTGGTTATTTGATACAATGTTGTCAGGTCTCTCTTACCTGCAGCCTGTTCTGATTCACTTGCCAATGTGTCGTAGAAGTGTCTTTTTACTTTGCGCGTACTCTTCTTCACTTCTTTGTCCAGAGTTTTATACCTTGTACTCAGTTCCTTTTTTCGTTATGCATCCTTGCACCGCACTGGTTTATCTTCTTCTTCCGCATCCTCCTCTCCTCTATCAGCTTCCATGTGTCCGTCGAGATCCATTCCTTGTCTTCTTTCTTCTTCCTTCCTAATACGGAAGCGCAGCGTCCATTGTTAGGCAGCTGGATATCTTGCCGGCGTCAAGGATGATACCAGTTGGCAAATGCCAAGCGGGCCTTTTGTCTCTCAAGTTAGATTTCGTCAGCAAATAGCCCATTTCAGGTGATGTTAATGCCGAAGTAACTGAAGTGGCGGACACCGCTACTTCAATCCCAATCCTTAACCTGGGTGTATTTGCAGACCAGTTCTGAAGCATCATCTGATATTTGAAAGTTGCAAGGCGCATGCCAAAAGTACTCAGATTTCTGCCCAACGCGTTCAGAATACCCCGCATTTTGTCACTTTCTCCACCTAGCAAGAAAATTTCGTTTGTATAACCCAAGTCAACCAGATGGCCTACAAGGAGTATATCAGCCCACTAATATATTTATATCAAAGTCAAGTAGGAATGGGGACAGCGGGCATCCCTAGCGGACACCACTAGTTGTGGTCACTTCTGAAGAAAACTCTTCATAAGCAGTTATACGGCTACATGAGTCGGGGTAGAGAGCTTTGATAAGCATCATATACTTACTTGGTACTCCTTTCATAGTTAGATGCTGCAATAATACCTCATGGTCGACGGAGCAGTTTGCTGCCTTCAGGTCAAGACGTATGGCAAATGTCGGCCGCCGGTGGGTATGCCTGTGTTTCAGAACCTGCTGTAGTGTAAAAGTATGATCTGTGTACCCTTGCTTGCTTTTCGCGGGTTTGCCATCATATTTTTTCATCTAAGCGTTGTCAGTCAAACTGATTCCCCTATGGTTGTCACAAGACTTCTCTCTCTTCTCATAGATGGGAATGACAAGCAATGTAGACCATTCTGACGGGGCTGCCTTGCAGTACTTCCGTTATCCTTACCGGCAGCTTTTTACTCAATCTTTAATAACGCTAGGTGTCAAACCGTCAGGTTGCGTAGCTTCACAATGTTTTGGATTTGATAAAGCTTTCTCAACTTTCGGAAGGGTTGAGGGACTGACATCTATGTCCCATTCAGATTCAGGTTGACTGCTGGGTAACCGAAGCGTTGCCGTTGGCCAGCTAAACTGTGCTTCAAAATATTCCGCATATTATTCCAACTGTCTATTCTCAAAAATATCAGTGTCCCTTCCTTTTTGGTGGGGGCTTCACTCATCATTGTTTCTCTCTCGTCGATAGCCCCAATAAACCTAAGTAGTTACCCACTGTTAATGCCTTCTCCATCTCTCTTCCTCTCGCTACCCACCACTGTTTGCGATTGTTTCGACGACTGGTCAGTTCGTGCTTAAGTTGCCAACTCTCTTCACTGTGATCGGAGCCAGCTGGGATCAGTCTTCTCACATCACTCAGCTCGGATGAGGTTTTAAAAATCCACTGATGTGTACTAACCTTAGGGTGTAGGTTAGCGACTGTCTTTACTATCTTTTATACAACAGACCTAATATCACGCCAGGTTTCCTTAGGACGAGCATGCCTGTCACGTTCAGATAAATGCTGAACTACCTCCTTCTTAAATGTATACTTGGCGTTATTATCTTCCAATGGAGCATAGACAGGCTCTAGTGTTGCCTGTTTTCCGAATCCAGTAAGGTAAGGATGTATACAAGCTCGTACTGACACGCGATTAAAGATGTCCGAGGAAAGGCGGCAGTCGTCTACTGACCCTTTGCAGCACTGGTTTAGAACAATATGATGTGTCTGCGTCCATCGTTGGTTTGATGTCGTCAGATGCTATTTGAGACAGTAACACTCTTTATACTTGAAAATAATGCTGGCTAGATATAAGTGATTGTCGGAAAGAAAATTGCAGTCGACAATCACTGTTGTCAGTTCGTTGATATGGGGCTCCGTGGATGCCCTTAAGATGCCTTTCTGATTTGTTCAGCTTTCTGACTTGAGCGTTACGGTCACCTACTTTTATGACCATTTATGAACATTTTACTTTATGGGGCAAAATCGAATTCATCCTTTGCATCACCTGAACTACAGTCGGTTGGTTCATATGCGGAGGTTACTAAGGGGCGTGACCTAATCTGTTAACCCTATCTAAATTTTACAGATCCGTTCAGTGGAGCAGCACACAGATGGCTGTTGACCGATATTCGTTCGAGAAGTGCGCTTTATACTCTACAAATCAGTGCTATATGTACGCCAGCTAGTTTGCGACAGCTTCCATATTCTTGTTGAATTCGGAAGATTCACCGCACTGGTCAGGTGAGGTCACGTGAATAACATCATTAGGATCCTGTGTATGTATCTCACAGACACACAGTACATTCACAGCTCGAGACTGCAGAGTTCTGACTAGCTACGTCTGCTATTCGATTAGAAGTGGGGCCAAGTTGGAGGATTCAACATGAAATCGATAATGGTGTTCCGGGAAACTTGCAATGAGTTTTCAACGGTTTTGATCGTTGGCAACGGTGGCAGAATGAAAGGTTTAGTCAGTTCTAAGAGGCCTAGTTTTGGTATCAGGAAGTGAAGGCAGAGGAGATGGAGAGGTTATGTTTGATCTTATTTTGAATATTGCTGTAAGCGTGCTAGCGGTTGAAGATTCCCAGCTGTCAACACCGTAGTAGGATACTTCTTCCTAAGGTACCTGAAAAAGAAAAAGAACTGTATAACAGCAGAGCCAACAAGACATAGGCTGGAGACCTGTCACAGTTTGCAGATTGTTGGCGTGAGACTTGAATCTTCTAACGCTGGATAAAGAAAACCCTACCACCAACACTGAGAGACCAAAGGGCAAAGAGAAGTGAGTTATTTTGGTGGCCGGCTTTTTCTCAAAGGGAACGGAGCAACAGCCTGTCATTATTGGTTATTAGCAGTAAACACTCCTTTTGTTGCACCCCATCAAGTCAGTAGTACGACTTCGCCCTCAGA